CGCATTTCGAAAGATAAGTTTGTGTTTATTGTATTTATTATTATTTTTAGTATTATTTAATTATTTATTTTACTATTTTTATTTTTACAATTTTATATAAAATAGCAATGACGGTGACTAAAGCAAAATTTTCAGCTTGCTTGTGAAATCGGCACGACTGACGAACACTAAAAATCGACATGGGCCAAATTAATTGCATATTCTAATAACATAACGTTAATAAGACTTTTTTCTTTGCAATATTAAATTCTTTATATATTAATGGTCGTAAATTTTAGTATTCGTCAGGCAAAATCTCATTGATAAATAAAAATAAAGTATATTTAAATTTGCTGCCGATAACTAAAGCAATTGAATAAAAAAGACTAATGTTTTAGTGTTCGGCAGATAAAAACGGTTTGACAAAACAGCATTATAATGTAGCTGACGGTAACTAAGGCACAGAAGTGACGACCACTGAACCAACCAATCAGCGCACTGCCGGTAACTAACGCAAACAGCTGCCGATTACTGACACAGTCAGTTTTCGTACCTGCCGATCACTAACGCATTTGCATATTTTCGACTTTAAATGCAAATAAATATTACATATAGTATGTAATTTCATAAAAAGTGATATTAATTACTCTTCTTTATAATCCCCTTTAATAAATAAAATTTGTTTCATTTGGAAAAATTGTCTTTGAAACTGCTAATTAGTCATTTTAAAATTGAAAAATTCCTTAAGCTGCCGAGCACTGACGCATTTACCTTACTCTGGTCTCACGACGAATCTCTCGATACTTATATACACTGGAGTCGCCGTGTCAGTTGCGAGAACGGTTACAGCGTCCCTCTTTCGGCAGAGATAAGAATTGTCACGTAAACTGCGGGTATAATAAGGCGTTGGTAAAGCGATTTAGCAGTTTACGTGACAATTCTTATCTCTGCTGCAAGAGGGACGCTGTAACCGTTCTCGCAACTGACACGGCGACTCCAGTGTATATAAGTATCGAGAGTTTCGTCGCGAGACCAGAGTATATCTGCGAATCTATTTAATGACGCAGATATCTCTCGCCTATCATTGATTTTTCAATGATAGAATTTTTTTGCAGAATGCTATTTCCTAATAGCTGCTGCATTTTTAAATAATTATAATTTATAAATAATAAATTATTTATTATTTACATGAATTATTAAAAATAAATAATTAAAAAAATAAATATATTCAACAAAAATTATAAACATTAATTTTTTATTATTACTATTTAATTAAAAAATTTATTTAAAAAATTTTTTTCTCTTGGTTGCCAATATTCGGCCAATATTGGACCAATATTAACAACCGATGCTTGGCGAACCCGTTACATCCCAAGCATCAGCCCATATTGGTCCAATATTGGGAGTCAATCGGCGCCCAGCACGGCAACCAATATTGGACCGATATTGGACCGATTAAAGTCTATTGGCAATAAGAAATATTTGATGATAAAAGTTAATTTTTTAAGAAATTAGTGAACATTTTTCCTAGATAAATAATTTTTTATGGAAAATCTGAAAATTTTAAAGAACAAAATACATTAATTTAACGGTACCCTTGAAATGTTTAAATCCTTTTGACAGGTTTAAAGGTTATGTTGCTAATCGTAAGTTTTATATATTTTTTAAGCAATATTATATCTGAAATTCAGTATAAAAAAACTTGACAATGTTTTTAAATTTCGAATAATATAAAACTACTTAACGGTGTTCGATGGTCTCTCAAATTTCTCGATAATGTGCGACCAACAGTTATCACCCAACAAATACGGCACTGACCGGTTTAAATGACGTGAAATTGGTAAACATTCATTTTCTAACAAATTTCCTTCTGTTCACAGACACTTTTTACAAAATATGACAACGTACATTTGTCACAAATGTTTTTAATTGTCTGAATTCAAAAGATTTTGACAATTACTGTAGAAACGCGGTTGCAGGATTGGAATTACCATAGCAATGTAATGCGAATCATTTTGACAGCTGATCCTTTACGCTCCCTGTATGCTTCTGCCCTCTAATGGCAAAGTGGCTGCAACATATGTATAGCCACCTGTCATTAAATTCCTTTTGTATTTCCAATCCTGCAATTGCGTTTCTGCATGGATTAACAAAAACTTTTGAATCAGACAATTAAAAACATTTGTGACAAATGTACGTTGTCAGATTCTGTAAAAAGTGCCTGTGAACAGAGAAAAATTTGTTAGAAAATGAATGTTTACCAATTTCACGTCATTTGAAACAGGCATTGCCGTTTTTTTGCGTGTGATCGGTAATCAAACTTCTGCGCAAGCGCTCGGCAAGTTGACTATCCAGGATAATAAATTTGATTATCTAGATATACTAAACGGGAATATATAATATTTCAGGAAGATAATATTTCTAACTATACAGATAATAAATTTGATTATATATTTTTTAACTATCTACTTTTAACTATCCATTTTTCTCCGTGTGTTGATGAAACAATTTGAGATGACAGATAGGAAATCTTCAAGCGTATCTAGTAAATTTAAATAATTTTTGTCCGTCATATTGGATCTGCCATTTTGTATTTTAAAAATACAATTGCAGATTCATTATCAGCGACTTAAAAAACCCCTGTGAAACAAGTTTCAAGCGAATCTAGTAAATTTAAATAATCATTGTCCGCCAAATTGGATCCGCCATTTTGAATTTTGAAAATCCAATTGCAAATTCATAATCTGTTACCCCAAAAACCCCTGAGCAGGGACTGTCACGGAAATCAAACTTTTATTTCGTTACGATATTTCAAAACAAAACGAAATTATTAATGTATTTTGATTTTGATTCGGTAACAAAACAAAATTTACTTCCTATTTTGATTCTGATACTGTAAAGAAACAAAATTTACTTTCTACTATGATTTCGATACAAAATTCACTTTCTATTTTGATTCTGATACTGTAACGAAACAAAATTTACTTCCTATTTTGATTCTGATACTGTAATACTGCAATTCGGTTTTCTTATAGAAACAGAAGTCGATTCGAATTCTACTTCAGATTTCATATGTAAAAACGATATTATCTTTTGATATATTTGACATTTGCAACAAAATTTAGGTTCAATGAGACTTATACATATGCGCAGTTGTATTTTATCAAAATTAAAACAAAAAAGAATTTTGATATTGGAATCAAAACTAAATAGAATAGAATTTTGATTTTGATATTGGAACCAAAACAAAATAGAGTGGAATTTTGATTTGATATTAGAACTAAAACGAAATAGAGTGGAATTTTGATTTTGATATTGGAATCAGAACTAAATAGAGTGGAATTTTGATTCTGATACCCATATCCGAATCAAAACAAAAGTATTTTTTAATTTTGTTTTGATTCCGTGACGGTCCCTGCCCCTGAGTAACAAAATTCAAACGAATCGAGTAAATTTAAACAATGAGCGACCTCAAAAACATGAGAGATGTCCCGGGGAGACTTGTCCTGAATTTGCCACTGTTTTAATAAACATTTTTTAACTGGGGAGTGATGTCCCGGGGAGACTTGTCCTGAATTTGCCACTGTTTTAATAAACATTTTTTAACTGGGGAGTGATGTCCCGGGGAGACTTGTCCTGAATGTGCCACCATTTAAATAAATAATTTTTACTGGGGAGAGATGTCCCGGGGAGACTTGTCCTGGGGAGACTTGTCCCATGGGGAGTTATGTCTCTGTGGAGACTTGTCCTGGGAGAACTTGTCCGGGGGAGACTTTCTGGGTGTGACTTGTCCCAACCCCATGGAAGCTATTTTTATTCGTGGGTTCAATAGAAGAAAATATTAAACTTTAAAAAATATAAAATTTAGTCTCTACCCCTCACGAAAAAATAGACTGCTATTAGGCAATAAAAACAGATTCAAACTCCTCCAAGTTTTAATTCATTGGTTGAGTTAAACAAAATGGAGAAACTAATTAATATTTGAAAAATAAAACATATAATCCTAACCCCCTAAGAAAAAATGAACAATTTAGACGAATAAAAATAAGAAACAAACTTCTCCCATTTTCAAAATCAATTTTTCTATTTGTTGGTTAAGTTAAACAAAATGGAGAAGAAATTAATATTTAAGAAATAAAACATATAATTCCAACCTCCAAAAGAAAAAATAAAATCTACTGAACAATAAAAAAATAGATTGAAACTCCTCCTATTTATTCGGAAAGGGTTGTGGTAAAATTTCATATTTTTTTAAAGTTTAATATTTTTTCCATTTTGTTCTATTGAACCCACGAATAAAAATAACTTTTATTAGAAAGGAGGAGTTTAAATTTTTTTTTAATTGGTCTAAAACATCAATTTTTCCTTCAGAGGGTGTGACTACATTTTATGGTTTTTAAAGTTTAATATTTTCTCCATTTTGATTAACTTAATCAACAAATAGAAAAATTGATTTTAAAAAAAAATTTCAAAATTTTTTTTGACAGAATGTATCCAAACAGTGAATTAGTTAATTACCACACTTGTTTACAACAAAAATTATAAATAATTTTTCCGGCCCGCTATGGATTTTTCTTTTTAAAGCCTTTATCTTCAAAAAAATATATTGATAATAACCATAACGATAAAATTTTTTTTTTTTAATTTCATAAACCAAATCGTGCGCTACGCGGAGAATCACCCTTATATTTATTTACTTTAAAAATTGACTAAAATTGAAGAAAAAAAAGTGACACGCATCACTACACTTTTATGATTGTTATTTTTTGTTTATTGCTTTATTTATTATAACTATTGTATAAATCTACTCTGTATCTATCTATTTCATCATATTTATGCATATTTCGTACTTTTCTACTCAAATTAACAAGTATTTATGAAAGAACCAAAAGTGCACCGAAAGTGCACCCAGCTAGGTTCACTTTCGGTTAATCAAATCTGCCAGGGTAATAAAGGAAAAAAAGGAACAATTTATAATTAACAAATTAATAATTCATATATTAAAGATAAAAAACTCCAACCTTAGTTACTGTTGAATTGCTATTATTTTCCTGGTCGGGCTACAAAAACAGTTAATATAATTTAATAATATCAAATTTTATATTCTAAAAAATTAACAATCTACCTGTAATTTCTTCCATAATACAAATCCAGATGGAAACCCCAGTAAGACCAAGAGTGTCAATCTATAAAAACATTTTAACTGATTAAGAGAATTAAATTTAAAAATAGGCAGCAACTTTTCTTTAAATAAATTAATTTTTACATGAAAGATATGAATCTCATTTTTGAATTTCTTTTACAAAAGAAAGCAATTTATTGTATTAAAGAATCCTCTTTATCTTTTATCCAGTTGCAATGCCACGTATTGAGAAACGAAGCCGTCTTTTAGAAATTTTTCACTACATGGCAAAGTTTTGCGTTTATCATGAATATATTATTTTTCATTAAATTTCTAAAATTTATGTACTGTTAGCCATTAAAAAAGCAACACATGCATCAGACGGTTTTGAAAACTGATTTTATCTTAACATTAAAATGTCATAAAAAATGTTCCACGCATCGTTTTTTTCTGCTTTATAGCTATTTGTAAAATCTGCCGTACTAAGGAAAAACTTACATAAGTACAATCCCTGTCAAACTGAGAAAATAGAGAAAAACTGTTTGCTTCAAGAACTCCGTTTTAGAAATAAAAATTTAATAATTAAATGGCACTTCTCTAATGAAAGTGATGTATGTGCTGATTCTAATTTTGCAAAAGAAAATTGATTATTTAAACAAATTCTATGCAAAATGTGACTTACGATGTCTACTTTTTGAAAATACGAAGGAAAAACTTACACATCGTCACTTGCGTTGTTTCTCTCGCACGGGCACTCGAGCTAGGCACGACGATCAGAATTAAAAACTTACACATTTTCTATGTCGCTTGGTGGGGAGTAGTTATACCATTGTACCTCTCCGACCATACCCGACAAATAATGCTGAATGTAACCGAAGTGCAGTAACGTGGTGCCTCGGCCAACTTTAGGATAGAAGAACTTACACATGTTTCGAGTAATGCAGATGCGTGGTTTTCATTTCGTACGCGACCGTCGTGCTCGACCATGTGTTCGATTGAAAAATAACATAATATATCACTTTGTGTAAGTTTTTCCTACGGATTTGATACTCGAGTTCGATGATTCGTACGATTTTCAGAGCACGCAAAGTACTTCGTATCACTTTTTATCAAGTATTTCTTAATTTTCTTCATATTCTTCGATTTTTAATTATCGTTTTTTGCAGTCATTAATTATTATATTTGATTTTTATTAACACAGTTAAATGCAGTTTTTCTTTCCGAGTTGATTGATACCAAAAACTAAAATTTTACAAAATTGTTAGTTATGTAAGTTTTTCCTTAGTACCGCAGAAATAGTTTACCAATAAATTACGTTACCAATTTTTCATACTTTTCATACCCTCTCCCCCTAAATTGGTAACGTATAGTTTATGGATGGCCATAAAAGTAACAATTTTGACTAATTTTTAGTAGTTTTCTACTATAATTCCTAGTTGAAAAAGTACTAATTCATTAGTAAGTCGTATTTTTTACTATTTCAAATTAGTAAGCTAACTAAATTAGTATAGAAAACTACTAATTCAGATTTAGAGATTATATTTAAAGATTTTTTCTTTTTCTTCACGTGCGAACATAAAATGAGATTACTTTCAGATAGATTAATAAAGTTTAACTATAATTTTTTTTTATTTTGAATTTTGCAAAAAAAAAACGTTTTTTGCACATAACTTTAAAAGAATGTTACCATACCTATAAATGTTTTTCTCTAATTTTGTAGAGTTTTAATAGACTTATCGTTTGAATCCTCATTTGAACATTTTTCGTCCATATTAGCCGGATATATTAAACTTTTAAACATTTAAAATTTTGAAAAATAAGACTTTAAAAATTTTGTTAAGAAATGCAGAATAATTCGATCAGAAATACGAAATTATTGTTATTTTAAAAATCACAAATTATATGAAAAATATAATTTAAAAAATTTTTTTTGTTTAAAGACATGTAATAAAATTTATGAAATAATAAAAAAAAATTAAATTAAATTAAAGAAAAAATCTCCGTGAGAAAGCAACGTGATCACGAAATGAACACAATAAATTCGTCTTTGAACTTAATTGGCAGCGGTTTCATTAATTATTTCAAAAGAATAAAAATTACAATTTTCTGCCTAGAAATGATTTAGGTAACATAACTTAAAATAAATAATATTTCTCAAGGGAATGTTAAAGTCGATCCGATTTTTCGGATCAATTTTACTTCCGTAAAATTATTTTTATAGTAATTTTTAAAGACGAAACCGTGACGTCGAAGTATAATGATGTGCACCGTCGATTATTGTCCGGTACACACCATTAGAATTCGACTGTCGATAAACCGGTTGTACTCGGAGAGTACAAGGCAAATGCGAGTACTCCTAATTTTCAAGTCGCTCTGTAGGCGCAAAAATTTAGTATTAAGAAATGTTTGTAAGGAATGTTCTACGGTTGTAAAAACACTTGTATAGCCAAGATTGTAGGCTTAAGACGGGTGTATAAACAAATAAATAAATAAAGACGAAACCAATGGTCAGAAAATAATCTGACCCTTTTTGGATTTTTATTTTTCTTAAAAATTAATAATTTTACAATTTATTCGTAATTTTGTAGAAAATATTATTATTATTAGTAGTTTATTTACTCTCCCTACAGTAGGTAGGGTTCGAGACCCCCAAATACATACATAATAATCTTAACCTATATTTACAAAAATCCTTACAACTAAACATTCTCTTCATACAACGCTCTCAACCTTACAATTCGCCAGTGCCGGGCTTCCGTTTCCAGTTTCTTCTATGCCCATGCTGGCTTCGACTAAATTCGCCCACCCCACCCTTTTTCAAAAACCTTCTACTCCTTTCTCACCTCTCTTACACCCTCCAGTCATCCACTTTTACCCATCCATCCATCCATCCAAGCAAAATCTTCTCACCTTATTCTCAGCCAATTCCTGCCCAGTGAGCACAGGGAAGTCTAAAAGATGTCTTAAAGACGTCCCTTTTTGTCCGCAGACAATTCGGGGACAATGATGATAATTTCTCTGAGTCATCAAAAAGACAACTAAAAGACGTTCTATGTCTGGTCCAAAAGACATCTAAAAGACATAAGAAAGGACGTCTAAAGTACGTCTTTATAAATTTTCCCAATCCATTCATTCTTCTCCACATGCTTTCCTTTTCTCTTTTCCACTTACTATCCCATTCATTCCACATTTCCTGCAATTTCTCCAACCCCTATTTAATTTTCCCCCTATCCTTCAACATCCATACTAATTTTAACAAATCCATGCAATCCTTACACGTAATCTTTTTCCCATTCTTTCCTATCCCCCTTTCAAATACTCGCGACTTTTTATCATTCTCGCTAACACTACTTGAGTCAAACTCAGCCATTCCAGAAATCTACCTCATCACTCAAATGCTCAAAATTTTTCCACTGTCTCTCTCTCTCTTCTCTCTCACTTCAAGCAACCTAACCTCACAAAACACACTTCTCTTTTTTACCTTTTTTATCACTCATACATTGACTACTCTATACAAACATGCCTTTCCTTTACACTACCGCAAATATTACACTACACACTCAATACTCTACACTACCCACCCTTTTTTAAAACCTTTAAATTTCTCAAAAAAATCTTAACTCTTTCCAAACGCGTGTACACCGAAACGATACCGGAAACGAAAAACCATTTTTGTAGAAAATATGTTTTTGTATTCACAAAAAAATTGCCACATGAAAAAAATTATTTTTATTATTTTTGAAGCATTTTTTGAAAAAAAATCATTGTTATTTGTTGGTTTATGGTGAAATAAATAGGCGATAATTTATTTTATATAATTCATAAGTAACTTTTATTTAATAAGAAAATGCGATACATATATGTCTCACGACAGTTAACTCGAGAGGTCTTGTTAACTACTGAACAATACATCGACGCGTATTATGGAAAGGGCAAGATAATAAGGATGATTCATGAGATATGGGCTCATTTTATTTTGGCTTATTTCCAACATCCCCTCTCAAAAAAATATGAGCAGTTGGTTTTCACTTTTCCCCTTTTTTTAATCGTACATAAATGTCATTCCTAAATTGTCGATGCATTCGTAATGTTTGGGACCACTCAAACCTTTAGTCAGCATGTCGGCTGGCATTTTTTCGCTGCAAAGATATTGGACATCAATCATTCCGCAATCATAAATATCTCGAACGAAATGATACCTCACGTCTATGTGTTTTATTTTAGCGTGGAAAGAGTTGTTTTGAATAAGTTTCACGGCGCTTTGATTATCGTTGAATAATATAGTACATTCATTTTCTGTATATATATTGCTCAAAATTCCGCGTAAGTACATTGCCTCTTTCGTAGCTTCGAATATAGCGATATATTCAGCCTCGGTACTCGAAAGTGCTACACTTTTCTGTTTTCGCGCTTCCCAACTGATTGGTGAGCCTGCAAATATGAAAGCGAAACCGGAATATGATTTTCTGTCAACCACGTCAGAACTCCAATCCGCGTCAACTACACCGAATAAGTTAAGGTCGTTTTTCTCGTACATTAGACCAAAATTACTAGTGTGTTTGAGGTAGCGTAAGATTCTTTTCGCGGCTTTCCAATGTTCGCTATTGTAATTTGAATTAAATTGACTTAAATAATTAACTGCGAAGGTGATATCCGGCCTTGTAGTTACCGATAAATATAACAAGGCTCCGATTAAATTTTGATATGGGTACCCTACTGAAAAAGAACGACTGTAAATACGAGCGTAAATATGACTGTGAATACGACCCTAAATACGGGCCTTAGAAGGGTAGTGTAATTAAAACAGCAAATACAGCCGTATTTTTGCCCGTATTTAGGGTCGTATTTACGGTCATATGTGAATACCATTTTTAAATAAATATATATATATACCCTCACAGCACCGAAACTTTTCTAACAATTTATTGAATATTTACTTGTAATATTCGGCATATTTAACTGAAATGTTTAGTGAAAATTGTTCTTTACACAACTTTCAATAAACATTGCAATTACATATTCCGCACATTGCAAGTAAATATTTAATAAATTTTTTAGGAAAGTTTCGGTGCTGTGGGGATATATATACAATGGAACATTATTAATTTAATATATTAAATATAATATTGCAACTAAAATAAATAATATTTAAGGTAAGTATTGAAATACGATTTATTCTTATAATAAATGCAGAACAAACAAACAAATATATAAATGTCACTTTATTTTAATCACAAACGCACATATACACATGGTACAATTATTTATTAAAAATTGTAATTTTTATTATTTTTATTATAAGAGAAAAAACACAAACGCACAATAAAAACACTTGTAGATTTTTCAACAGCTAAATAAAAACGACAAATAACGCGAATCACATGTAACTGTAAGAATTTTTTTATTATTTTTATTATAAGAGAAAAAACGCAAAAACACAAACGCACAATAAAAACACTTGTAGATTTTTCAACAGCTAAATAAAAACGACAAATAACTCGAATCACATGTAACTGTAAAGGCCAACGCAGAATAGATCTGTAACCGGAACCGCAATCGTAAGCGTAACCGTAAGAATGAGTTAAAGAAGGATAGGTATATTGTTTATCCTTCTCTAACTCATTCTTACGCTTACGGTTACGATTGCGGTTCCGGTTACAGATCTATTCTGCGTTAGCCTTATGGACAGTTTTCAAAAACTGATATTTAAGTTGCATATACATTTGAAGAAAAATATTTTCTTGGATCAAGAACACTGGCATTGTGTTAAGTAAAAAAAAGTTTCAAAGCATATAAATAAAATGATTCGATTCAAGAAACATGAATTCTCCACACAATACTTTATTATTTCGCTTAAGAACATGATATTCTAGATTCAATACTTTTTGGTACTTCGGAAAAGTAAAATATTTGGTTGAAATAATTACATATTGAGTTCTGCCAAATACTAAATTGTTAATTCAAGAATTCTGTTCAATGCTAATAATTACTTGACACAAGAAAATGAATTTCTTTCTTCAAATAAATATGGGATTAATTGAATATAATTTGTAATCAACTTGAAACAAATATTTACTTATATTAACCTTCGTATTTTCTTGAATCAGGATTATATGAGCGTTGAATTAAGTAAAAACTTTTTTAAAGGAAACAAAAGAATGATTTAATTCAAGATCTTACACTTAATTGAATTGAATAAATAAAATATTTCATTCCAGAAAATATAACATTCTCACAAGAAATTAATGATTTTGAAACATGAGAATATAGAAATGCTTCAAGTAAAAGAAATGCTTAGATTAATTAATATTTCTTTGAAACAAAATAATTTTTAATTGAGTTGAAACAATTATTAACTTGTATTAATCTTCCCATTTTCTTGGCTCAAGACTATGGGTGTTGAATGAAATAAATAGTTGCTTTAAAGGAAATAAAAAAATTATTTGACTCAAGGTAAATTACTTGACGTGAGAACATGATATTCTTGATTCAATACTTTTTCGAGACTTGGCGCATGTAAAACAGTTCGTTTGAAACAGTAAGATATTTACTTATGTCAAACCCATATTTTCTTATTCCAATAACTTCGATCAATGCTCAAAATTACTTGACACAAGAAAATAAATTTCTTCCAATAAGAAAATATGGGTTTGTTTCAAGTAAATTAGGTTAAGAAAATGCATTTGCTTGATTCAATGAACTTTTTTTTCAGTGTAAGGGTACAATTTTAAAAATTTGTACCAACCAAATTTTGGGAACTCACATTATACTGTGTCGTCAGAGACTATCAAACAATTATAACTGTCATCATTAGATGACGAATTTTACAAATTAAATAAAACAATTTTTTTTAAAATAAGGGTACAATTTTAAAAATTTGTACCAACCAAATTTTGGGAACTCACATTATACTGTGTCATCAGAGACTATCTCGTCGTCCCCGTCATTTGCAGAAATATCATCTACATCATTGACCTGATCCAATTCCTGTAACCGCTTAATTTCTTCTAATATATCCTCCGAATCCATTTCTTCAAAATTTTCTTCTTGTTTCTTGTTATTATTCCTATTCCTGTATCTTTGTTTGGTAATTCGGAGCACTTCGAGCATCTCGTTTTTAAATTCAGAAATACTGTGAGGCCCAACAAAAAAAGTACACTGTCTCGCTGATTCTGAAAAAACAATTAAATGATTAAGTTACAATTAAGATCTAAAATTTCAATTTTTAAGAAGTTACAAATGATTGCAGAAACTCAATTATTTTCAAAGGTAATAAAATTTTTATCGCAAAATTCAATTATGTTTAAAATTTACAAGAATATCTCGACAAAATACTATTTATTATCTTTATTTATAAATTAAATAATTCTTCAAAATTCAATTATTTTCAAAAAATTTAATCAAATTCGTCTCAAATTTTCAATTACTTAAAAAAATTTTCAATATCTACTATTTTAATAAAATTATACGCAAACATTCTGTTATTCTCATAAATAATAAAAATTTTACTGAAATTTCATTATTTTTAATTTTTTTTGTATTTAAATAATTGAATTTTCGTAGAATTTTCTAGTAAAACTTGATTTTAAAATAAATTTTTATTTAAAATTTTAAATAATAATTGAATATTAAAAGTATTAGAGCGTTGTAGAATTTCAATTTTAATCGAATTCCTTGGAAAATGTAACTATTTTAAAAACTTCAATTAATTCTCGTAGAATTTTCTAATAAAAATTGATTTGAAAATAAATTTTAGTTTAATTTTTAAATAATAATAGAATATAAAAATAATTTTGATGACGTTACAGTAACAATATTCTTATTCTTATAATATAAAATAATGATTTTATCTCTCGATCATCTTTAATTATATTAGAAAACATGAAGAAATCGATCACTCCGAGTCGACAACTCGGAGTAATAGCTATCTGTATGTTTTATAACAACATTTTTAAAGTTGATTAATTTCAAAAATCTTTGAATTTGAAATTTTTGAAAATCTTAATTTAGAGGTGTGCATTTAAGGGGTAACATCACCCAGAGCCTATACAAAATACGGTCTATTTCAATTAATTATTTTAAGAAAACGGTTCAGTACAATGTTGCTAGGTTTTCTGCAACGTTAAACACATGAATTAAACTTAATTTAAAAATAAAAAAAAAATTTTTTGTTTTCAAAATGGCGCTTTCACAACAGTTCAACGTAGTTCACGTTTTTTAAAACAACGTTTTGCGTTTTGCACCTAGGCAAAAAATTCAAACGAATTATGAAAGAGGATGACATTTACTAGAAAAGTACATAGGATATTTTAAAAATATCAATTTTTCGCAAAATGGTATGACTTCGATGACAAAAATGTTATTTTTTGTTAAAAAATCAAGGTAAAAATGGTTATAAAACGGAAACGCATTAACCGATCTAAAAAATCCTATGTACTTCGATAAAGAATGTTGTTTTAAAGCTACAGTCTAAATTTTAATTGAATCCGTCAAAAAATGTTGGAGAAATCCTTCCGGACAGTTTTTTTTACAATTTTTTCACTGTTGGATGTGTAAAGGCGCCATTTTGAAAAAAATTTTTTTTGTTTTATTTTTAAATTAAGTTTAACCCATGTGTTTAACGTTGGAGAAAACCCAGCAACATTGTACTGGACCGTTTTCTTAAAATAATTAATTGAAATAGACCATATTTTGTATAGGCTCTGGGTGATGATACCCCTTAATTGAGTTGAACCGAACATTGATCGACTCGACAACAGAAAATTCAAATCGGAGATAATTCGATTAGAACAAGACAATTCGAAAATCGTCGTTTCGAATTGCACAACTCGACTCGGTCTACTTTCGATTCGAATCGGACAATTAGAAAATCGAAGTTTCGTCTTTCGAATTACTCGACTCTACTCGATTTTCGAATCAAGTCGGCCAATTCGAAAAACCAAGTTAGACGAAAATCGAATTAATGTGCTATAATGTGTATGCTGTATGTTGCGCAATTCGAATTTCGAATTGTCAAGTTCGAATCGAATTTTCTCTCGATTCGAATATTGCACACCTATCTTAATTCCTATGTGAAAATAATAATAATTAAATATTTAAAAAAGAAATTATTGTTTTGGAACATTTCTTTCAATAAAATTTTTTCTTTCTTTTCTAAAAATTAAAAAAATTTTCAGTTTCTTTTTCAATTAAATTTTCTAATTGACAACTCTATTTCATAAATATTTTTTCCTTTATTTTTAAAAACTTTAAATTTTATTAAAACTTAAAACAATTAAAATTATTAAATAAAATTGATGCAAATTATTTCCTTATGAAAGTTAGAATTTTCTACAAAAATATTAAGAAACGGGAATATCTAATGTTTTTCTTAACAAAAGAAAAAAAATCATTTTGTAAACAATATTGTTATTGAGAGATAAAAATTATGCATAAAATGGGTATGTTTCCTACTTTTTAATCAAAATTTTTTAACAATGAATAATTTTCTAGCATTTTTTAAAAATAAAAAGGAGAATAATTTGCATAATAATTTAGATGAGTCAAACGAAATTTGTTATATAAAAAAGCATACAACAAACAAAATGGGTATATTTTTTATTTGTTATCATAAGTTTTCAAAAAATTTCTAATTTGTAATATTATTTTATTATAAGTCATGAAGAAATACCCGCATATTTTCGATTTGTCAAATAATATTTTTTAAAGAAAAAAAAAACAAAAGCATACAGAAAAAGTAACTTCTAACTGCGGACAGAATTAATGAAAGAATATGAAGATTAATACATTCAATTATAAAAACATTAAAATATACCTACTTAATTAATGTTAAAGAACAAATTTTAGTTTACGTATTTTTTAATGATAAACATAGTAATTAATTTTTCCTAGATTCTACAAAAAATTTATGTAATATTGCAAAATCAATCCATTAAGTAGATCAAATAATGAATCTCTATTAAAAGTTAAACTTACCGAACAGAAGATTGGAAATCTTAGTGTCTCCGAATTTCTCACTTTTTTTGCTTCCGGGCCAGGAAAATTGACTGACAAGTTCGTCAGTCATTAACTGCTTTACAGCATAATTAAAATTTTTCCCGGAATTAGTTAGTAGACACCCTGAATTGGATTCAATTTTATTAAAATTTTTGACAATAATTTAATTCTTGACAAGAATTTTTAATATAATTTTGAAAATAGTTTAATTTCTGCAAAGTATTTTATTATTTTTCTTAAGAATTGAATTCTTGTGATGAATATTGATATTTATAAAAATAATTGAATTTTGGAAAAAATTTTATTAAAATTCCTTAAAGTAATTGATTTTATGGGAAGAAATTTAGTTGTTTATCAAGCTAATTGAATTAAAAGTTATTTATGAAAATAATTGAATTATTGCAACTAATTTTATTGAATAATTTAATGTTTCTTAAAATTAATTGTATTTTTCGAGGAATTTATTTAATATTGCATTAAAAGTATTTGAAATTAAGCGATGAAAATAATTGAATGTTTTCGTAAACTAGAAAAATCTTTTGAAGGTTTTGTATTAAACTTCTTGGTACACAGTAAAAAATAAAAAATTTTACAACAATATTTTTACTAATTAAAATTTAAAGGACAAAAATGTATTATTTTGTTGTAGTACTTACCTTTTTGACAAACTTCTTGTAATCCAAATATTCAGTTAACACCACTATCACCAAACTAAATAACAACAACGACCACGAGGACGTGTTGATACATCGACAGCTAGATCGATAATGGGTGAATAGTCCCAATAGTGTGAAGAACGCTCATTAAAGGTGCACTTTTTCACGCACAAAACGCAAATTGTCGTAAGTCACGTAATGTAAAACTTTAAGGTGCTCTTTCGAACACACAAAATGCCTCGCATTACCATCACATACGTGCAACCATCGTGCGACAATGTACTCGCATTAAAAAATGGCATTAAACATAATTTTCGCACGCAGAAAATGAGACGCATATCGTGCTAGTCATGTGTAGTTTATTTTCATGCATTTAAGCAGATTTTATGCATGCACAAAATGAAACTCATTTCGTGACACTTATGTGCGACGCACTATTGTTATCTGGGTATAGACCCAACCTTTTTTACAACAGTGCTTACAGTTACATGTGATTCGAGTTATTTGTCGTTTTTATTTAGCTGTTGAAAAATCTACAAGTGTTTTTATTGCGCGTTTGTGTTTTTGTGTTTTTTCTCTTATAATAAAAATAATAAAAAAATTCTTACAGTTACATGTGATTCGCGTTATTTGTCGTTTTTATTTAGCTGTTGAAAAATCTACAAGTGTTTTTATTGTGCGTTTGTGTTTTTTCACTTATAATAAAAATAATAAAAATTACAATTTTTAATAAATAATAGTACCATGTGTATATGTGTGTTTGTGATTAAAATAAAGTGACATTTATATATTTGTTTGTTTGTTATGCATTTATTATAAGAATAAATCGTATTTCAATACTTACCTTAAATATTATTTATTTTAGATGCAATATTATATTTAATATATTAAATTAATAATAATTAATAATGTTCCATTATATATATGAGGCATTCCATGTCAAGTGATCCGGGTGGAGAAAAATTTTTCTCCAATCGTAGCAAAACTTGGGGCTTTTGTAGTACTATAAGATAGTAATTTATCGTGAAAATATTTTTTTACCTAGTCCAATATTTTCCGAGGGGGAGGGGGTTAAATTTTTGGGTTTTTCAGTACAATGCTTATTTCGATAATTTTTTACTCATAAACTATTAAACATAAAAATTTGGCAAGGTACATTTTAGAAAGGTTTTTTCATGCTCTTTCGATTGAAAATAAGCATTTAAAAAAAAAAAAATTTTGACCCAAAAAAATCAAAATTAAAAATAAATTTTAATTTTTTGGAAAAAAGGTCCCATTTTTTTTTTTTTTAAACGAAAGCTGAGGTTTTTTCCTAAAAGGACATATAAATGAAAAAGTGGGACAAGAATGTTTAAACATTGAAAAAATGAATTTTCTCGTAAACAGAGCTAAAAACCGGGTTTAGAGAGTAGAAACCTCTGTTTTTCAATGTTTAAACATTCTTGTCCCACTTTTTCATTTATATGTCCTTTTAGGAAAAAACCTCAGCTTTCGTTTAAAAAAAAAAAAAAAAAAAATGGGACCTTTTTTTAAAAAAATTAAAATTTATTTTTAATTTTGATTTTTTTGGGTCAAAAAATTTTTTTTTTTAAATGCTTATTTTCAATCGAAAGAGCATGAAAAAACCTTTCCAAAATGTACCTTGCCAAATTTTTATGTTTAATAGTTTAAGAGTAAAAAATTATCGAAATAAGCATTACACCGTAAGACACCTGGATCACTTGACATGGAATGCCTCATATATATCCCCACAGCACCGAAACTTTCCTAAAAATTTATTAAATATTTACTTGCAATGTTCGGAATATGTAATTGCAATGTTTATTGAAAGTTGTGTAAAGAACAATTTTTACTAAACATTTCAGTTAAATATGCCGAATATTACAAGTAAATATTCAATAAATTGTTAGGAAAGTTTCGGTGCTGTGGGGGTATTGTATATATTTTTTTAAAAAAATGGTATTCACATATGACCGTAAATACGACCCTAAATACGGGCATAAATACGGCTGTATTTGCTGTTTCAATTACACTACCCTTCTAAGGCCCGTATTTAGGGTCGTATTCACAGTCATATTTACGCTCGTATTTACAGTCGTTCTTTTTCAGTAGGGTATTTATCCATTTCTCGAATGTCTGCGCGATCGGGTTTTGTTAATTTATAATTTACCTGCATTGGTGTTGTTGCTGGTTTACAATCGTTTATGCCGAAACGTTCAAGTAATTTTTCAGTGTACATTTTTTGATTCAGGTAAACTCTATTTTCGTCGTCGCGCGTAAATTCGATGCCTAAACAATAGTTTATTTTTCCTAAATCCTTCATTTCAAACGCGTGGGACAATTCGCGTTTCACAGCATGCAGCCATTCATTATCGTTGGTAGCAATAATCATATCGTCGACATAGACTGCGATTATTGTTATCTTATTGTTTTTGTGAGAAGTAAACAGACACGGGTCTTGCGGTATTTGCGTAAAATTTAAACTTCTTAATTTCTTGACTAACTTTTTGTGCCATTGTACACCGGATTGGCGCAAGCCATACAATGACTTTTTTAATAAGCAAACACTGTCATTTTTTTATTCTAAATCGTTGTACCACCGTTGAGCCGTGTTTATCACTTTCACATTTTTGTATTTATCACTTGAACCAATTTTTTCACTTGCGGCCATTTTTCGTAGCACTTCGTTTAACTTCTCAGGAACCTCCATGTGTACGTCCTCTTCTAGTTTTCCGTTCAGGTAGGCGGCGACCACGTCCATTTGGTGCATCTCTAGTCCCAATTCTGCTGAGATTGCTGCTAATAATCTTATCGAAGTCGATCTAACGACGGTGGAATAAGTTTCGTAAAAATCTTCCCCTGGTCTTTGCGAGCATCCTTTGGCGAAGAGTCTCACTTTTCTTTTCTCTTGGTTCCCTATCTTTTTTACGGTGAGTGTAAATCTGCTCCCGATTACTTTTCGATTTTTAGGGTGTTCAACTATTTCCCAGTGTTGTTTTGGAGTTGAGCTAGATATTTGTCCTCCATCGCCGTTGTCCATTTTTCAGCCTCTTCCGTCCTGCATGTTTCTTTCCAGGTGGGTGGAACGTTGGTCGTGAAATTTGCGATGAATGGGTCGTCGTCGTCCATTGGGATCTCCATGTCTATGCCTTCCTTCGAGTCGTCGCTGCTATCTGTATTGCATTCTATTCGTGCTTCTCGGTATTCTTTCCTTGGTCTTTCTACAGATCCTGATCGTATAATTCGTGGTCTCCTTCTTCCTTTTTTTGATGGTCCGATTAGATTTTCCCACGATAGTGTTGCTCCTCTTTTTCGAATTTTTTGTGAATCGTTTATTGATTTATTAGTCTTAGGGTCTTTCACTTTTCGTTTCTCGTTTCCTCTAGTTGCACGTAATGTTTTCCTTTTTTCAATGGTTTCCTCGTCTAGTTCTGAGTCATCGCTGTTTAGTTCGATGGTAATTTTCTCGGTTTCCCCTTCTCCTTCGTCGAGTATTTCCTCGTATCCGTGTCAAAATGCTGGCTCGTGCATGAATTTGACGTCGCGGCTTATTACAAGTTTTCCCGTTTCGAGAATGTGTACTCGATATGCTTTGGAGTTTAAATCGTATCCCTCTTCTGCGCGCGAGTCAAACTTTCCTTTATTAGGGCTTTTGTTTTTTACGAACACTTTGCTGCCGAAAGTTTGCATGTACAGTATTGTAGGAATTTTTCCTTTCCACTCCGTGAAAGGTATTTTGCCGTTTAGCGCTTTTGTTGGGCATCTGTTCCGGATGTAGCAGGCAGTGTTTACCGCCTCTGCCCAGAACTGTGGGGGAACGTTATTTTGGTGCATCATGCATCGTGCCATTTCTACAAGGACACGATTTTTCCTTTTGGAAGCGCCATTTTGTTGAGGCGTGTATGGCACTGATAATCTTCGCACAATTCCGCACTTTTTTAAGAAATCATCGAAATCACTGTTTATATATTCGCGACCATTATCGGGTTGCAAAGCCTTTATCTTTTTTCCCGTCATGTTTTCCACTTCGGCTTTGTATTCTTTGAAAACGCTCAAGAGGTCACTTTTACTTTTTATAAAGTACACTTGGCACCAACGCGATTTATCGTCGATAATTGTCACGAAATACTTTTTACCTGAGGCAGATGGGTGCCTCATTGGTCCGCACACATCGGTGTGTACGATCTCGAGTAAATCGTTGGTACGTTTTTCACTTCCTTTGGGGAATGGTTTGCTCGCCAGTTTCCCTTGCGCGCACACTACACATTCTGACAATTTTTCACTGACTTTCAATTTTAACCCGTACATTAGTTCGTTTTTTGACATTAGTTTTAGATCACTTTCGTTCACATGTCCTAGTATCTCGTGCCACTTATCAATTTCACCTTTAACACTTTTTTCTTCAGCGATGTTCGCTTTATCTTGGCACTCGTTCACATAGTATAAGTTCCCTACACGGTTCGCGCGCAAATAAATCATGTTTTTATTGACCACTACAATAGCGTCATCTCTACGGAATAGAACTTCATAGCCGTGATCAACAACTTTGGAAACCGACAGTAGATTTGTACGAAGGTCTGATTCGTAGAAAACGTTTTTGAAATTTATTTCCTGTTTTTGTTTTCCAGTATCGACGTTAATGTTTATATCTCCGGTTCCAGTTATTCGTGTGCTCTCGCTGTTTGCTAATGTTAGTTCACTGTTGATGGGTGAGAAGTCTTCGAACATGCTTTTATTATTGCACATGTGTCCCGTACTTCCACTATCAATGCACCATGCGGATAGTCTATCTTGGCTGAGCATGGTTTCCTCGGTCGAGCTTAACATTGTTACGGCTTTGGGTTTTTGATCACGTGTTGATGATTCACCATCACTTTCTTGGGTTTGACGCGCACTCTCTTTACTTTTCCAGTCGATTTTAGTTCTACAGTTCTTTGCGGTGTGTCCCTTACGACCACATCGAAAGCACTCTATACTTTTTCTGTTTTGATGACCTTCACTGTTGTTTTTCTTATCAGTGGCTGGGTGTGAACGTGAGAATTTCTTTCTTGCAAACATGGCTCCTTGTTCGGCGTCGATGTCTCGACTCTTTCGACTCTCGAAACTTTCCATTATTTTAATTTTCAGTACATCGGTTTTAGGTAGTTCGTCTTGTGACTCAAGAGCTGTCCTGAACATTGAGAATGAGTCAGGCAAGCTATATAATAGTAAAATTGCGAGCAATTCATCGATGACGGCCAGTTGAATTTCTTTGAGTTTATTTACTGTCTCAAAGAATTCTGAAATGTGTTTCCGCAAATCATCACCTTCTTGCATGCGGGTCAGGACCAATCTTTTTAACAGTGACGCTTTTCGCGCTGGTCCCTGAGATTGGTG